AAGTAAAATAATCTGTATCAAAAGGAGTCTTTTTAGGCCTTAGTATCTCAGTATCTTTAAAGTCGGTCTGAAGATGGCGACCATAGAGTGCCTAAATACCGCCAATTATATTATTATATAATACCGGCATATAATTTGTTGGAGACAGTTAATAAACTCATATTAAAAAGGAACGCTTTATCATGTTTAACATGTAAGAACATGGATAGCAAGCAGGGCGTAATTAATGGCATAAGATTGGTTTTAGCTCACTTGGGCAACAGCACTATCACAGCAAAATTTACTGACTCCGTTCAAACTATCGTCAAACTACGCAATATGACGTAGGCCTAGTCCTTTCAAAATGATTAAGAAGCAATTTCCCATAAAAGTTGTCTTTGCATAACTATAAATTAGGCAAAGGGATAGAAACAATCAAAGGAAGGATTGTATGTGCCAGACTCTGATTTTTCAAATGGTCAGTTGTAAACAGCATTTTCAAGGGTTCAATCTCTCTGTGACAACTATGTCTGGATAAAACAAACCTACTAACAGATGACCATATCATCACTCCAAACATAGTGTGCAAAGGAGTCATGTTAACCTGTAAATACCTTACCTTATATTTTGAAAAGAAATAAGTAATCTGAAAATGTAAACACGCACTCTATTCTTTACTTCATCTTATACCCAAAACAAAGGCGCACAAACTACATGGTACTAGCTGTGTGTACTATTAAGTGGGATTTGAGGAGAATACAGTGTGAATGATTCAAATGGGTCGGCTACTAAATATATTTTGATGTTTGGGAGAAGGGGGGGTTAAGCAATTTCTGATCCAGGGCGCTCCTAAGCTGGATACGCCACTGTCAGTTTGTGTCTGAATAGTGAATTTATTTTGTATGTTTCTGTATTGTCATTGAAAGAATTTGTGAATTGGAGTGACTTAATCTATATATTTTAATGTGCCTATACTATTCTATACCTGGCTTGTAAACTATTTGACTTGTTTATAACTAAAAATATTCAACAATACGGTAATATTTTGGGTGTTTGACTACAAATCCTTTTTCTGCTAAAGCTCAAAGTATCAATTTGTCCAAAATGTTATCTCATATATTTTCTTAATAGATGGGCCGACCATGAAATTGAAGGAACTGTGGTATAATGGACTCACAAATTTAATCATCAGCTTTATGCTTGTCATAAGGCTTAAAAATAAATTAAAATCAGTCTTAACATTTACAATATTCACTATTCTATGCAGTCTATATAATCTCACTTCCTTTGTTTATAGTCCTTGAGTAGGACAACAAGTGGACTTCTCCTCGCAGATTTGGATCTAAATATGTGTAGACAAGTAAAGGATTCTTGGGGCTTCAGGGTAAGTTTAGTTTGAATTGTATCATTATTCATAATAAACTTATCTGCAAGTCTGCTAGGGACGTAAACATTGCTGAATGTTGTAGATAAGAAATCTTTGATAAATCATGATCTGTATTAAATTATTAGGGCTGTCTTTTCAACGATTTTCATTCAATCACACTGTTTTTGTATTATACAGCACATCTTTCCATAGGTTTTTGAGACTATGTGGACCATAATTGAAGCACCAATTTGATAATAAAAAAGATGATTGACTTACAGTATGTTAACAGTTTGGGTTTTTAGTGTAGCATCAAGATCTAAAAGTTATGGTTAGCTGAAAAGATGTTGCTTAATACCTTAATTGTTTTTACATTAGTTATTATCTTCATCTTGTATATCAATACGTAAAGGAGTTTTTTGCCCTAAAATTCTGAATCAACCACGAGTCAGTTTTGCAGGGCCGGCTAGATGGTCAAATGTAAAATCTTTTCTGTACTCTACGTACATGTAATCTGCTAAAGTAAAAACAATTGAATTAGTATGGTTTTCCAGTTCACTAAATAATTTTTGACTTAATTGTTTAATTAAATTCTTGACTTGAATAAAGTTGCAACTCTGAGCACGAGAATTAATCAAACTATCAAGTATTGTTATGTTATGTTGCTCTCAAGATCAACTAGATGTGCATTGTTATTTGTATAAAAAACGGGATGGAGTAGCTGGACAATAAATCAGGAAGGTTGGGGGGCCCGGGAATGCTCAGCCCAGGGGTCCGTGACGGCTCTCACTGGCCCTGCAGTTTTGCAACATGCTTCTGTTGAAGTAAAGATAATTTTGAGAGGAGCGGAATGTCAAAGCCATAATTTTAATTTTTGAATTAAGGCTTTTGTAAATTTAACTAAACATTTTATTAATTCTAGCTGACACTGAGATTTTAAGTTTTGTTTCAGTGTAATATGTGTATAATAATGTTTTTGTCTGTAGCTCTTAAAAAATGCTTGTTTAGTATGTTAACCAGTACAGTTTTAATGACTACCTAATCCCCTTTTGTAGGACTGGTCCACAGGTAGTCACAATTATTTTATGATATTCTTGTCCTCAAATAATGATTGCGAATGATTGTTTATCTAAAGATATTTTTTAAACCCTACAAACTAAACTCAGACTTTATTGTCCATGTACTACAGCAAACATTTATGATTTGCATATGATTTTTTTTGTATTATGAGATGACTGAATATGCTGTCCCCAGATGACAATGCGACTGGACATGTATGCTGAAGAACTGGCAAAAGCAGCAACCCCTGACTACAAACCTCAGATCATAGAGTGAATATCGTAAAGGTGTGGCTATTTACAAAGGTTTGTTATAATCAATGTCTAACAAATAAATAACAGTTATAAAGTAGATGGGTGAAAGCACAGAAAACATACTACTATAACCCAGAATGTGCATAGCAACGCTGGTGGCGCTGCCTACAAACTGACAGGCAAAGCTCTCTCGAAGTACTTTATGCTTTTTACAATGCGGTTGGCATTCTGGGTTGTAGTAGTATGTTTTCTGTTGTGAAAGGTAGATCTACAAACCTAATATGATTAGGATGATCAAATCAAAATGTACTAATGGTACTACCTATAACAATATCATTCATCTAAAGATGAACCGTCTAGATGTGGTTTAGTTTACTATTGTATCTTTAACAAATTTGTATGGTCGCCATTTTAGAATAAAGTATTAAAGCACAATTAGAACTACTCAGTATCAAGTCCTTTAAATGGTCCAAAGGTGTAAATTACTGTGATAACTGTTTGTTGGCATTTGAAACCACTCCTTCTAACCACAGGAGGGTTTTGTACTGAAAACATATTTTTCCTTAATGTATTAATGTTGATTTTACACATTTTCCACTTCACGATAGCTTTTGGCTGAAAATATTTAAAAATTGTATGTTTCATCATATTCTTTTACTATAGTTCGTTCACAAAATTTAGACGGTTTGTGGGGAAGGTCCTCCACCACTTTGTCTGCATAATGTATGTTGCAGATTGACATTTTGTCAAATCTCTGCTGTTGAGCTATGTTTCAATGGTTGGAACAAGACAAGGAGGGGATAGATTTCTTTCCCTAAAACCGCCTTTTGTGAAAGAACCATAGTTGCACGGTTTGTTCTTGGACGGTTATGTTTAATTTAAAACATGTGATACAATGTTTAGGTTGTACAAATTAACTAGTCAACAAGTGTAAATAAACATGTAACAATCCTATTTGTAAATAGTACAAATCAATGCCTACATTCTAACTAGCATTTAAAAGCCTACATACGAGGGCTATCAAGAAAATAGGTTACGTTTTGGAATTAAGGATAAACAAAGTCTTAGAAAAATATATTACTATTCACAAATGAAAGCCACACTTAATACTACTTTTCAACATAATCACCTTTTATATTAAGGCACTTGTCGTAATGTCGAAGGAGCTTAGAAATTCCTTCGTCGTAGAATTTGGCCGTCTGCGTCTCCAACCACTTGGTTACCTCTTCTTGTAGCTGTGCTTCGTTATCAAAACGCTGCATAGCCAGCCACTTCTTCACTGCTGGGAATAAGTGAAAGTCGCTCGGTGCCAGATCGGGACTGCACGGCGGATGAGGAAACAACTCCCACTTAAAAGATTCAAGAACTTCGCGAGTGACATTCGTTGTCATGAATCAACAGGATCTTTTGAGCTTAACTTTCCCCTGTGCTTGTTTTGTATCGCTCTTTAAGGTTTTGCAGAGATTGGCATTTCCTTTGCAAGTTTATTGTAGTGCCTCGTCCACAAAATTTACACCTTCCCTATCCCAAAAAGCAGTTGCCATCACCTTCCTTGCCGACATTATTTTTGTTTGCATTAATTTCTTGGGTTGGGGGGGGGAAATTTGTGCGCCCCTACTGCATTGACTGCGGTTTTGTCTTGCAGATCACATGTTTGACCCATGTTTTGTCCCCAGTAATGATGCGATCGAGTAGTGAGTCACCTTCTTTATCGTAAGCATCCAGAAATGTTAGTGCTGCAGCCAATTACTGATTTTTGTGACTCTGTCAAGATTTGCGGTACCCATCTTGCACAAAACTTGTGGTAACCAAGCTTTTCAGTTATCATCTCGTGCAACAAACCTAGTGAAATTTGTGGAAAACCCATAGAGAGTTCCGTTATTGTGAATTTTGTGGACTTTGGCATAGACTTTTTCGACAGTTCAGCAGTCACAATGCTTGGGTCTTCCACATCGCTCTTCCTCGTGAACGTTAGTTCGAGCATTTTAAAATTGTATGACTCACTGACACACTCCACCTTCCGTAATAATGTTTCCCCCATAAACTTCACAAAGTTTAACTTGTGAACTTGTGTTGTTTGTTGTTAAGTGAGTCGGTGGCTCAGTCGGTAGCGTCACGGACTTCGGGCCCAAGGCAGCGATGTCGTGGGTTCGGATCCTGGTCACTGCCGATAACATTTTATCAGTACAGTTCACCTTTGTACTGTACCGGCTCACTCCTTGCTTTGCTGTAAACGATCCACGCACGGGCGCTTAGTCTATGTGGACGGGCAAATGCAAGGTTAAAAGAGGCCGCCAACCTCTTTAAAACAAAAAATAAATAAAATAAAAAATAAAAAAGTTGCCGATAGATTTCTATTGGTTTGCAGTCAAAAATCAACTTCACAGTTCACGGCATTTTCAATTAACACATACATTTTAAACTGTCACAGTAACTCAAATAAGTACAGCAGAAACCTCTCACTAGCACGACTAGATGCCGAATGAGCTGCGTAACGAACTGACACCAAGATGGCCGCGCTAGCCCCGCCCCTTGCGGATACAGACAAAAACGTAATCTACTTTCTGGATAGTCCCTGTACATTGGCAAACTTCATTGCATGTTGTAATTGTATAAGCCATAAGATGATCATTGCAAGGATTGTGCATTTTGATAATGTTACTAAAATTTAAGTTAAAGCTTAGAGGAATGTTAATAAAGAACTACTTCAGAGTGGTGAGAAAGTGACATAGGATCTGTCCTTGTGTTGCACAAATATGCAAGTTTTGAGCCAATAAATGTATTATTATTGTCATACCAAAAAATGCAATGGTATGGGTAAAAATATTTTGTGAAGTTGTTTAGTCTAACTTAGGATATGAATGTTGGGTACTAATTGTAAGGGAAAGGCTATTTGAATTAGATTATAGCTGAAAAATATATTTTTATGATATAATATATTTTAATTAACTATATCATATCCAAAACTATTAAAGAGAACTATATTATTAAAAATGCTGTTGTTTATTACACCTAGTTACTTCTTTTGGTATTTTGAAATATATAAATATTCCTTCAAGTTTTAAAACATTTAAATAATAACTATTGGTGATGTCTCAGAACCAAATTTCATGAAAATATTTGATCCGCTGGATTCCAGAATTAAACCCCATATTTTGGCACCTACCATTTGGCTGCTCCAATGCAATCAATACAACAAATGGAATTAAGTCTGAAAGACATTTTACAGGTTATAGTCTTGAAAGTTTGGAATTTTAATTTGTTATTTAAAGTAAGCTTTTTGAGTCAGAAATCAGGTAATTCTGGGGAGATGGCCACAACTTTGCCAGATGTTACAAAACATCTGCGAGGTTAGTAAACTATTATGACAGTGTCATAGCTACAGAGAAACAAAAATTATGCTATTGTAATTTGTATTACACTGAGGCCCGCTCTGCAGTTCTACATCATGTATCAGCTTTTGTGCTCTCAAGGTTAGCTACTGCACATTTAATTTGTTAAGGCTTCTTTCTAGTCAGTAGGCCAAACATATTAATTTCAATGTTCAGTCTTTTTTAGTGACTGGCTAGTTATATTGGCCAGGTGCCTCTTTTCAAAACACTAAGGTGCCACGAATCTCATTAAACCAGCTTCAAGTTTCTTTATCTACAAGTAGATTTAAATTTAGTTTAACTTAGCAATGGATATAAACTCTGTGAACCACAGATTACAATCTGTGACTTCTGCGCGCCGTAAATGTCGTACTGACGACTGGCGTCAAGGGTATGAGTAACAATAGTGGCCCGCACACCTGTTTTGAGCATGCCAAGGTCAAAATTTCCTACCTTGCTACACGGGAAACAAAACTTAGTTATTTTAGCTTCAATTTGACAAAACGTTTAGTTCCCTTGAAAAGTATCCAAGCAATTATCATTTAACCCTCCGAGTGTTATTTGTCGCTGCAGCGACACATAACACACTTTGTGTAGTGTTTTGTGTCGCTGCAGCAACTCACAAACACTGTTTACGGCGAAGGCTCTATGACTGACAAAATCAGATTGAACTGGATCGAGTTAGGTATCGTTTTATTTGACAGATTCAGAGCTTTCTCCGGAGGTCTGTCTCTAAGCGCTATTCATTTTAGTTCCGAAAATATTGTAGTAGACAGCTGACATGCGTATTTGTAAACAGCTTAGATAACCTCGGACCGATGACTGATGTGTTTTATTACGTTTATCATTGTTTTAGTGTTAAAAATCAAAAGTAGTGATATACGTGGTGCATTATAAGAAGATTAAAGTGATTTTGAAGGGCTGGTTGATGATCCTGAAGAAGTAGGTAGTGATATTGATGTAAATTATCAGCCAGATTCCTAGCTATGTCTAGGCTATGCATTCTTAGCTAAACGCTATGTACTGAAATCTGTTTTTTGCCCATAACTTATTTATTTGCCCATAAATCTACTTGCTTATATTATTATATATTTGTAATCCTCATAAAATTTAGAACAAAGTGGCTATTTTCAAATATTTATAGGCCTATAATTTATACAATTTCGTTGAGCGCAAACTTTTTTTTTTTTTTAATTTTCCAAAATATTTTTTTTTTACCTAAAATTTTTTTTGGTAACAAATGTTCCTTATGTTCTATGTATAATATTGAAGCCCATGATTTTCCAAACAAAATGGTATATAGAACAGTATAATTAACATTGTTTTCAAGCTTCTCAGATCCGTTTTAATAAAACCTTGCAAATGAGCAAAAAATAGGCAGACATTAAGGCCAAAACAAGGGACACTCGGAGGGTTAAAATCCCGGCGATCTTTTAAAAACACTCCAACTAGAAAATAGCTTTAGGATAAACACAAAGGTAAAAAAAAGAGGGATGTATTGATTCTTGATACCACCGATAGGTAACATTTTGATTCTTCACATTCGATCTAAGAAGACAATGATATTGTCTACACGAACCTGTATATAGAATTAGCCCCATGTTAAATCTCCATAAGAAAAGTTTAATTTCTATTTTTGACCCAATCGGTCCACTCAGAACTTAGGTCAGGTTAGCTTACATAAGTTTTGCAAAAGTTTTTTTTAATTTTGAAGAAATAAACTCTACACAACCTCTCAGCAAAAAGTTTACAAAAGTGCATTCACATTGTAATGAATAACAGCGCTGCTAAGGTTAATTTATCTAAAAGACTGACTTAGAGATAACAATTTTACTACTCTTGCAATCATCCACAAAATATCCTAGTTTTAACATGACAACAAAGCTGCATAAGCTTTCCCAACAATCACTTCTTGTAACAATCAGATGAATTGGTTGCATAAAATATCAAAATACAGTAGTTATATTCTAATTTTATTAGTCATGATCTAACATATTTGATTAGCTGTTGATTCACTTTCATTTAAAAGCAGTTAAAAAAGAGACAAAAAGACAATTATCGATAAAACTGCTGGCCATTGTTCGGCGGGGGGTGTTGCCACTGTGGAGGTGGAGCATTGTATTGTTGTGGGGCCATGGGGTCTTGGTAGTGCGGGGGGCGGGGCGCAGGAGGCCCTGAGGCATACTGGGGAGGCTGAGGAGGGCCTGGGGGTGGAGCATAGCTGGCGGGGGGAGTGGGGTAGAATGGGGGGGCTTGGGGAGGAGGGATGGCAACAGGCGGGGGCACTCCATATGGGGGAGCGTACTGTGGAGGGGCGTGAGAGTAGCTGTGTGGCTGGTGGAAGGTGGTCGGGGCGACATCCATCCCAGAGTCCTAAAAAAAAATCATTAAAAAATGATTACTACAGTAAAATTTTAAAAAAATGTTTGAAATGTTCTGTAAAATAAATTTAAGATAAGTAAACCTATAACAAATTGTAACACGGAAAAAAGGACATATTAAAACATAATTAGAAATGTTAGAATACACTGAAGAAAGGCTACATCTACCAATTGAAGCAATTAAAGTCACAAAATAAATAGGTATGCATTTTATCTAAGAATAGATTTCCAAGATATTTCCAAGATGCTCATACAAAGAATGAACATACCAGGAAGTTGTTGGCACTACAAATTTAACTAATGTGCACTTTAACTTTAGAAAATCTATAATACAACCACCGAGTGCTAATTATGATAACTACAACATCGACAAATGTTATGTTGTTTTGTTTCACACAACCACAGAGAAAAAGCAATTAGTAGTAGAAATAAAAAGTAGCAATTTTCACTATGACAATTTTTCTGGCATCTAGTAGTTAAAATGTAAGTACAGAAATATTGCAGTAGGCCTATCTACAATCACCTATTTTTTATGAGAAGACTGCACATATTGACAGCGCCTTTTGATTACTCCTACTTTGCATATAAATAATACAGTTCTTTCACAGAATTACATGACACACCTGTATCTGCACTGTGATCAAGTTAGTCCTCATGGAAGACTGTCCTCCGCCACTCTGGTAAGGAGGATGGATCATGGGAGGTCTGTGAGAGTGGCTCCCGAAAGGAGGTGGAGGGGGAGGAGACGAACCTCTGCGGTGATGTGGTTCAATTACAGCTGGCGTAGACTGTCAACAGAAATTGGGCTCAATACAATACAAGGTCATACGGAAATTATAATTTTATCCACCTACTTTATTAGGCTATATTAATTGTTGAATATTTTCATCCTTAAATCCCAATTTTCAAATGCTTAAGTTGGAATCTTTTCTACATAGCTTAATAAACTGAAGATTCAAAGCTGCTGCTTGGTATTCAATCTTTGATGAAATGAAAAGTATACACAAAGGTAACGAAAAGAGGGATGTATTGATTCTTGATACCACCGATAGGTAACATTTTGATTCTTCACATATGATCTAAGAAGACAATGATATTGTCCACACGACCGGTTTCTGATTTTGCTGTGATTGAGGAAGATGATGGTGATGATGTTTCCTTATCCAAAAAAGACTGTAAGGTACCGGTACCAAATTTTAAGGGGGGTAAAAAACGTACTGCTAATCAACAAACACCATAACTTACCAGTTTTCATCCACAATAGCCTACTCATAGGCCTATGTGTTGGCCATAGCTTGGGCTGTGGGCCAAAGAACGTAGGCCTATTTTTAATCACAGTGTAGTACATACACACACTCACCCGATATATTTATTCATATTAGCACTACATTTCCCCAAATAAAGTTAAACCGACCGATTTTACGAGTATTTAACGCTGACGACGACATAACCCCAAACCGGTGTTTGTTTATTGATAGACGACAGACGAAACTAGACCTGTTCAACAGTTGAATATTCGATCAGCTGATGTCTAGTAGTACGTAAGTTCGCCGCTTGAGCGCGTAAGCCTCGAGCGGGCAGCAATGAAGGATTTTACTCAGACAGGATTATTCGTTCGTACGCCGTCTTCGAAGTAACTTCGTCGAAACACTTGCCTGTTATCAACGCTTGTAAGATCATCGATAAATCGTTTACCGAAATAGCATTAATTTAAAGAGTACTTATGTTTGCTGCAACAGGGAGGGTTGATAAGTATTTTTTATTTATTTTAATATTTAGATTAGTATGAAATAAATGTATTAAAAATTTGATCAGCATCTATATATATAAAAGGCAAAGCCCTCACTGACTGACTGACTGACTGACTGACTGACTGACTCACTCACTCACTCATCAATAATTCTCCCACTTCCCACTTACCTAGGAGGCTGAAATTTGGTACACTGATTCTTTAGGCATTAAATAGGAAAACTAAGTGGTTTTTATTCTGATTGGACTCTCGGGCTCCGCCCCAGTGGCTCTGGAGTTTCCCATGTTAACCTAATGAGTACTAATATTTAAATGGAATTAATGAATCATAACAGCTGTTTCAATTAAATAAGTTGGTTCTGTTCTATGATGTTCAATAGCATTAAAATTACAAGGTTTACCAACAGAGTGCAGCACTATTATTTTTTCAAATATTTGACAACAGCTAATTTGAAACCAAAAGGTGAGTGAGCGTAGCGAACGAACTTCAACTCGGAGGCGAGTTAGCGTAACGAACGAGCTAACCTGAAGGCAAGTGAGCGCAGCGAACGAGCTCCAACCGTAAAGGTGAGTGAGCGTAGCGAACGAACTTCAACCAGGACGTGTGAGCGCAGCGAACGAGCTGCAACCTAAAGGTGAGTGAGCGTAGCGAACGAACTTCAACCAGGACGTGATTGAGCCATGCGAACGAGCTCACGTATGAAGTTAAACGGGGCAAAGCCCGCGGGTACAGCTAGTTATGTTCATAAGCAAGAAAACTACAACAGGTTCCTTATTCTTCATAAGAATAACAGATTTTAAATTCACAAATTTTTGGAATCTCATTAGTAACCATGAGCACAGAAAATGAATGATGAATGATTGTAATTGTCCATATCATTTTATGGACGGACTAAAAACTTAATGACCAGTAGTGATAAAGAGGTTACCTGTACCCTAGGGTCCCCGGCTGATTGAGAAGACTTGAGCCTGGGCACAGATCCTCCCATGGTTGGTATCTTGGCGGGAGAAGGTTCAGGCAGTTCCCCTCCACCATGGGACACCATGTGTCTGTGGTTGATATGAGCCTGGAACACAGTGGTAAAATTGGGAGTTATTCTGGTAAATATATATACAGTATCTCAGTTGCCTACTGATGTTTTACAAAATTACTTCTGCTGTCGTTTGGAGAAAAAAATTGAAGGAACGGCCGGTTGGTACATTTTATAAAGATAATTTTTGTGCAATCTTGCATCTGTTAAAAATATAGTTACACATTGCTATAGGATTATTTTTTTCAATTATAGAATTGTGTCCTTAAACTTGATTTTACTAATTGTAATGTAAAACATCTGCAATAATCCATTTAAATAGGTAACCAGATTAGTGTGTTACCTGCAAGTCTCTCTGGGACAAGTAAGTCCTGCGACAGCCCTCACTGTTGTAGCGTGTGCCTCCGTGAGTACACATGAACACAGTCCCTAGACCCGTCTGTTCTACTCTAGTCACTTTGTCATGGCAACGCGGACACACTTTGTCTTCCTTCTTGCCACACGCTAGGCAGAACACATGCTTGCATGGGATCTGAAACAACATTATTCAAAACATTAAATTATAACCGACCCAAGATATTTGTACAAAATGATAAAAACAGTTAAACAGCTTTTTTTATTTTTTATTGTTTAGTTCAAACACTTTTAGTCTTAAATTCAATTAAGTGGGTGGTACCGAAACGACTGTTCTCATGAGAACGATTTGAGACCAGTGATCACGTCTAAATACAATGCTCTCCTAGATTTAAGTCAAATACTGTATACAGTATGCATTAAACAGTCTGTTTTTATAAGTTTTTTGGGGACGTAGGTTGACTCGGAAAAACCGTTATCCGGACTGGCCTCGGTCCGGAGGAGTCCGAATAAGTGGGAGTCTACTGTATGCTGGGTGATAAAAAGATAATTAACAAGAATAATATTATACTGTAGTATAGTGCTGTACCATCCGTCCATATATGAGAATAGGTTTCTGGCACTTGTCACAACAGTGGATCATGGGATTGAGCACCTTCTCGGCCACCAGGTTGACACGATGGTCCCAGTTGAGTCTCAACATCGGCTCTGGAGGTCCTCGGTTCAGCGTGGTGAACGTTGGAGCCTCCAACTGGGATATGTCTGCCTCCAGATCGACTAAACACATAATTAATTAATATAAAATACTATGTCTGCATAGATACACAAAGCCAAAATACTTGGATACCTGTGAGCACACATTATGGTAAAAAATAAACGGTATCAGCAATCTAACACATACTTTCTCCCATAAGCTTGTCAACAACCTTTATCATGGGTAAGCGGTGGGAGTAACTATGATAATTTTGTAGAAAAAATCACAAAAGTTGCAATAACTTTAGAACCGTAATTGTTACAGTAATGGGTGTTGCATTATTTTTTTAGAATTATAAGGACCATAACACATTAATTTTAATCAAAACCAGGTTTTTTTCCAAAATCTAATTTTTTTGTAATTTTATGGGATTTTTTATTCTTCCAACCACTAGGAAGACCCAAACTACGATGGGGAGACCAGGTGCGGAAAGACCTTCAGCGCATGGGGACATCAATTGACCAAGCAACACACAGAAAACACTGGAGGCATCTTGTTGGCAAGGCCAAAATCCAACTTAGGTTTGAATGGCCAAGGAGGTAAGGTAAGGTGTGGGATTTTTTAATGGGAAAATAACATAAGTTACAATAACTTTTGAACCATAATTTTTTACGGAAACTGGATTTGTTCAGAATCTAAAGGACTATAACATAGGCCTACTCAGTTTTTATTAAAAACGTTTGGGTCATTTTTGAGAAGATCTAATTTTTCTGTTATTTTATGGCTTTTTGTGGGAAAATCCCCATTAAAAATCAAAACTTCAAAAAAAAAAACACCTGGAGATACCATGAAAATTAAAAACCTTACTGACTAAAATGTTTTAAGCAGTCCAATAAAATTCAGCAGTCCAATAATGGGACCACAGTCCCATAATGAGTTTTGCGACCTAAGACTGTGTATTACGCTGAAAATATGTATATGTATATTATGTATGTATATTGGTTTTTTCATCATTCGGTAAAACCAACTAATTAACTTATTATTTTAGTGTATACAATTTAATGTGGACCGATGCTTCTAGGTGTCAAGATTGCTTCGGCAATAACCTCAAACAAACAAACCCAACAAAACCTTTTGGCCCTGAAAAATTTCAAACCAGCAAACAGCAATCTAGGGTACAATGTATTAGATTTTGATGTTATGTCTGCTAAACAAGAAAACTATGCAGATGCTTAAGTTACCACAAATTATGTGGTCGAGGAAATTAAATTGACAATCTTACACCCCACTCTATGAGACAATACTTTCTTTTATCAAGTGACGTTCCGATGACAGCTGATAATATGCTCAAGTGGCGAGGATAATTTTTTTCTTGATAGGTTAATTAGCCTATGAAGAAAGTTTGAAGAATTTACAATTTGTTCAAACTGAGCTAGCTGACCATAATCAAGATCATGGATGAAAATAAGCTTGTCAAAGTTAGTAGCAAATTTGTTAAAATAGATATCAATTATTGCTAAATCTTCCTCTACAAAAAAAAATCTAAATCTTTCTCTACATCAGGAAGATTCTCTCTACATATGCACTACTGTGCATTTCAAAATAATAGGATAGTAATTCGGTAATATGATTTCGGTTTTCATTTCAATTTACTTTCGAAACTTATTTCAGTTATCTGTAACTTTAGACTTGAAATCAACCTAAAAATCTTAAAACCCCTTATTAAGATATACATTTAAATTGCAAAGAACTTGCTCAATGTATGTAACTAATCTAATTATAAATTTCTAATTATTAAAGAAAAGCTCTTCAATTAAGAAAATAATTTCCAAACTTATTAAGAACGGCGTCAAAGAAGCTTCTTATAGAAAAAAATAGCTCATATCATGATAACCTAACCATCAACTAACATTAAAGAACAATGAACTTATTTATAATATTTTACTAAAATACTTAAAAACTAAAATTTCATTTAACAAGTTTGTCTAAAAACCATATATAGGATTTACTGTTATTTTGGTTAAAAGGTTATCATGATCACGACTGTTTGACGTGAGCTTGTCTAAACCTGAATCCTTCTTTCCTCAAACTTTTCAACAAAACTTGATTGTTTTCCATTAGTAATTCCCTTAGACTAAAACAAACACTTTAACTGTAATCACTAGTCTACATTTTTGTGCCATCAAACAACCTACAAATAATCCCAAAAAACAATACTTTATCCAAGTATGCTTTTGTTTTATATTTCAGTGGCAGACTGCTATATGGATGACAAATATTTTATTGCATCCAAGAAGCAGAACAAAGTGACAATCTTATCTCTGGAATTACCTAGCCTTATCTGTTTACTTCAACAATAAAAAGCCAGATAGGTTTCTTATCCTAATCGTTATAGAGTACGTTTGAAAGTGTATAACTACAAACAATAATGTTATGTTAACCTGTGTTTTCTGCAACTGATGCTGGATGTATGCGCACAGCGGGACAACTGAAACTTAACTGATATTCTGACTCATATCCCCTGTTCTTAGAACACATACACAGCTTTCATTTATTTACCTTATATGAATCTGTTACAAAACTACTGATTCGTTTAGATAAACTTCCAAGAATACTTTGGGCTTACTAAGGACTTTCTCTGTGACGTAACAAGTTTTTATTGTTATAATAAATATTATGATATAATATTAGTATGATACAACTTCAATATATACATTATGTCAAGCCCTTTACTGAGTTAATGCTGGGGTTGGGTACTGTGTTTTTCCTGTGTGACATATTATCTAATCCTAGCTGAGTGTTGATAACAATTTATATTATTCAAACAATTTATTGACTTTAATAAATGGGTATTTGACCTTTTTACTTACAGGTTTTTAATCAAATGAAACTCTTACTCCAAAAAAAAATATTTTTACTCGGCTAGGAACAAATTCACTCCCATAGCCTACCTACTTTTTCGGTGCACCGCAGACCCCTAGTTCAAACTCATAATATGTAGGTTTAAAATACTGTTTAAACTATACAGATTCACATTTATGTTTCATTTTAAATACTGCACTGTACATAAGTTTAACATGATTTTAATAATAAGCATACTGTATTGAAAGTTTTTCAAGACGATTGAAGAAATGATAAGTATATTTGTGTTATTTTTCTTTAGTAAATCTACCTAGCTATTAAAAAAAGGTCTGCATTAAAAATCCTTTTGAACATTTTTCATTCGCTATGTAGCCTATTGTTAAATCATATATTTAAAAAGTATTTGACTTCCAAATGTGGTACCGTAACTCCTAACCTCAAAATCTATGCTACCTCTGTGTAATCCGAGATTCTCAGTAACCGAGGTAGTCTTTCCAAACAACCTCGGTTAATCAGGAGTGTACTGTATTATTATAGCAAACATACGCATGACATTTTGAATTTGCCTCTTGACGCACAATCAGAAACAATTTGAACATTCATAAAGAATAAAGCAAAAATAATAATTATAAAAGTGTGATACATCACAAACTACCTGGCATTTGGTAATAACAAACAAACACTTGTCAATATTCACTATTACACAAATGTTGATGGTTTAGTCTAGGCTTACCTAGCAATTATGTACAGAACACTTACAGGTGTAAATCAGACACCATTCACAACTTGGCACTTAGCACACTGTCCCCAACTACCAATTACCTATTGGTATTATAAAAAATTTATCATATATTTAACTTGTTAACACTATAAACTGACGATCCAGACTCTTGAACATTTTCACTGAGATATTTTCTTAATACAGATCAGATTTATTTCCTGTTTATATAACATTAAGTTTGATAACTTACTTAGTAGTACTTCAAGGAAGGTTATAAGGGGGTCTTTGCTTTTAGTAACATTTTAATAGCACAGGATGAATAAATTTGCCAAATTAAAAAAAATCCATGAAAAATCAAAATAAAACAGCTTTATTTTTTTCTATAAGAGTGGCATAGAAATTTTTTATTTAGAGTTTTATTTAATTATATTTTTAGCAATTAATCATACAACGTACAAAGTTATTTGGTTTAAGGTTCTAGGAAATTAATTAGAAATAACTTGAGAAATTTTATATTTTGAGCTTGAAGAATGGGAAAAATTTAATATCACCCCATAGAAGCATGTTCCCATAGTTGAATCATGCATTTTTCAATTTACATAAACTCTTTTAACAATAAATAGGAGGGTTTACTCATTTGTACAAAACTTAATGAAAATTGCGTTATTTTTAGCAAATTTCCAATATTGGAAATAAGCTCTTACCGTAGTCTTATGTACCTGGACCCAGGAAAAATTTACTTAATAACAGTAATAGCTTATTCCCTGTCTGGAGAATAGGCTAATAGAAAACTAAATATAAATATTATCCAAAACAGTCCTATAGATTAAGTAAAATCGGGGAAAAATTACATCTTAAGAATGAACATGAACATAAAACTAAAAGGTATCTTAATCTACTGCCCTTGAAAATCTTACCTAAAATTAAATATTTTCATTAGGATATTATTTTGTTTAGGCCTAATTAAACTTGAGTAAAGTCTGTAAGGAATATTACTGATTGTTGAGTTTGGCCACTACTTACTCTCTTTGGGTCCTACTTGAACTTGGGACTCATCTTGGACCTCTTTGTTCTCTATTTCCTGGGGAGCAATGTTCTCCCCATCCTCCACCTCCACGTGCTAAGAGATAACAAAATGTAAAGAAAAAAATCTTTAAAATGAACTCTAGTTGATTTGCCCTTGCTATGCAACGGGGCAAGAATACTTAGCTAATCGTACTTATTGCTTATTTTAATAACCATGATCTCTTCTGCATTGCATTAAACTGTGTAGCAAAATAAAAAAAAATATTTAAACATACAGGGTGAGTTTTAACTGCCCCCCACCAACTTTTTTCTACATTTTTTTAATATCAATCCCAGACCACTTCCAAACATTGTTGGGTAGTAAGTACTTCATTTTGACAAGGTGGTCATTTCCGGCCGCCATCTTGGATCCGCCATATTGGATGCAAAATATTTTTTTCAAATGTAAAGGTGGGGTTGTGACCCATTATTTTGAACTAGATTTTTACCCTGTTTACAATGCCACAAACCAGTTGGGGGGGGGGGGGGGACAATTAAAACTCACCCTGTATACAGAATAAAGAGAGGAAAAATATTAGGACTAACTCAGGGAAAAAGTAAACAAACAAACTATAAATAAAAACATATGATAAAACAGCTGATGCATCTTCAATATTTGAAATGTGATTAAATGCAGTCCTTTAATTGAAGTCTGTGCCCTTACGCTCCTTTCACACTACGGTTTTAGCCCTACGCAAAAAACTATAGGGGTAATTTTTTGTTAGTAGTGTAAAGTAGAGCATGAGAGCTTTCACACTACACGGGTGGGCGACGGCAGAAAACCTACCATCTTGCAGTGACTGAACCGGACGGTTATCGTGCCGTGGCCATGCATTAGTGGCATAATGTAGTTAAGTGCAAGCTTTCAATAGGTTTACATACCTTATAAATCCGACAAACAGCTAAAATTTTACAGAAGATTTTAGACATGTGGTGATTAATTTGTTTAGGAGGTCAACAATATAAAGCATACCGGTGCATATTTAAGCTTTCCAACAGATATTGGTTTTAATTAATAAAAATATTATAAAATACTGTCTAAAATATGTAATAAAACGAATTATGTAGGCTAAAAACATTTGATCAGACACAAGTATTGGTGCTATTTATAAAACATTTTATTCACAATTTTCTCATCTTACGTCATTAAAAACCATTGTAAATAAACTCGCATTACTTTAGTGGTCAGCAAAAAATACTAAATTAAAAATATCAGGTAGTAGGCTACTTGAAAGTATGCCATCCAGACTTTTTTACTTTGTAGTTGAATTGGTGAAAAAATTGAACTTCCGGAATCGTTAACGTTCCATGTGTTAGCTGAAAACCTGTAAATGTCTTGCTGTGATTGTAAACATATTCCGCGGTCACGTGGATATCATTGTCTTCTGTGTTTGTGGCATCATCATGAATATCTCCCGCAGACGATGAAACAATCGTCAATTTTCGATCCCACACTCTTTTTGTAGACTTGCAATCACAAATTGTGTTTGTGCTGCAGCTTATTTTACACTGGTCCAATTTTCGTTACATGCCTCTTCTTCATTCAACGACATTGTCATACTGTCAACTGGTGTTCTGCTTTAAGGGATTGACTTACCATTTCACTGACGGTCTTGACATTTTTCTTCCCCCGTCCTCGACTTCCCCTGCCTCCTCTGACGCCTCGGCCTCTTGCACCTCGACCTCTGCCTCGACCTCTACCTCTGATGGTCTTTACTGTATCTCCTTTTTCCATCTCCTTGATCCTGAAAATACATTTTACATCATTTCTTTGTATAACTTAGCCTGTAATAGTTATAGACCACCCTTAAAACTAAATCTGTACACTTGGCTATTTTCAATTGAGTACACCAGTGAATTCATATGGGAACAAACTTACATTGCACAAAACGGGAAACACTATTACAAATGTATGTCAAACTTTAATATTAGACTTCCATCATATTACCAATATTATTTAGCTTAAATCTAATTGGTATTTTCAATCGTATTAATTCTATGACTAAGCTAACTTCATGGCCCCCACAAGGGTGGGGCTGGTGCAACTCTGATCACATTTTTTTAAAATTTTTTTCCCTATTGAAGATCACTTTACAGCAGATCATAAATTGAAGATAAAAAAATAATATAAATATTTTACAAAAAACAAAGTTAAATAATTTAAAATGTATTAATTCTAGATTCTAAGGTAGTTTATATTTAAATACTATAGGTGCGTATGTACTATACAACAGCAGAACAGCCAGCTCGGGCCCCAGTGGCCGGCTCCACAAACTCCCTCTACCCCTTCCTCCCGCCAGGCGCCTAGCCACTCCTACCGTCTTAATGAATTTACACTAAAAAGTCTCCTTTAAAAATATTACATTCATTCCCTATCTATACATAACATGGGAATTTTAAATTAAAAGTTTTTTGGAATTTTCTCCGTAGCCATAAGGCGCATAGTTACGCTTCAATATAGGCTACTAAATTATTTGTTTGCTAAAAAAGATTATGATTTTTGGGTCAAAAATGGGAAAAACCAATTTTTACCCCATAAAAACCCCGCTAAAATTCAATTATTTAAAAATTATAACATTAGGACCAAGTACAATACCTATGTTGTACCTCGGACCTACATATGTTGTACCTTGGACCACTGATTTTAAAGTAGAGGAAATAAATGTAGAAACACTTTTAAATGTTATCAAATTAATAATTAGTTTTTATTTCATAAAATATAAAAAAAAAACTGGCCCTTACAATACATATTTTAGCCATATTTTATAAGAAATTCACTCAAGTTCACTTATAGCCTAGTTAAGGCCTACGCCAAATATTCGCCTAACTGTCTTGGAGGGCCTGTCGCCTTCCCCTACTTTGCTTAGTGTAGGAATAGGACCTGAGGTATTGTACGCCTAATACCTACCTAAGGGAGTATTATTTACTATATGCTAATACTTACATACCTAGCTCACAATACAAAAGAAACTATTGTAAAAATAATGCCAATAGCCTATCCTGAGATACTAAGTAACTAACTAATTTGATGTATGGGCGAATATTTTGGCCGAAATCCAAATTGATGAGCAGGAATTATATTTGCAGCATCCATGTAACAGGCAATTCGTTTCAAGATGATTAACTTAGGTCCCAACTAAGAAAACTAAGTAACTTTTAACCCTAGAAAGGTATTAGGCCTAATACATCATGACGCTAAGGGTATCAATACGTAAATTTAACATACATAGGAATTGCATTGTAAGGTATCGTCATACAGTGTGACGCTAAGGGTATTAATACGTAAATTTGACGTACCGTACTGCCGGCTGTTTTACTGTACACAAGCCGGCCACTTTACTATAGGTACACAAAAGGTATTGACACGTAAGTTTGACGTATGCGTTCCAAGAAACCGACTAGAAAGGAACTTAAAGAAACACAAGTAGTACAACCCAACCAAGGCCTGCCATCACTAGGCAAATGACTACTGAGAGCACTGCTGGAAGGAGGGTAGTCGGTTGAGTGGGTGCAGGGAGGGGGACGCAAAAATAACTCGCCCTACGTCAAATTTACGTGCGATACCCAACTAGGGTTAGGTTATGTTAGGCCTACTTTACTGCAATGTTGAGTTAGGATGGATAGGCCTAACTTACTTAAGCCGGGTACAGTTTCTTAACTGGGCTATGCTAATATCGATTGAAACTATCGATTTGATTAGGCCTAGTAAACTTTAATGCAATTTTTTTCACCATCAGCAAGTTTGGTTGGTTAGGTTCTAGGTTATGATAGTTAAATTTTATAATAGATATATTTAAAAATATCGATTATTAATCAATATTTTCAATTCGATAGTTTCAATCGATATTAGCATAGCCTAGTTAAGAAACAGCACCTTAAGCCTAAATATAAAAATGTATGGATCTTCGTTAGTTTAATTAATGGTTTAAAACATTTAAATCTTAGTATTATTTTTTTAAGTAGTCCTAAGTTACATAAAAATTCATTTACCGGATCAAGTTAGTAGGATTATCTTGTTTTGTTCGCCTTCCTTAACCTACAAACAGGGCTTGGTAAACTTTATAATAATCTTATATTGACTTTCGCATGTTAAAAGAAGAACATATTTACCTTAAGCCTGTGTCACACTACGCTACTTTACTAGCAGCTAGCGAAATAGCAGCTACTAAGTAGCCAATGTGACATAGGCAGTAGCAGCTACTAAGAGTAGCGCGCTAGTGAAATTTTACTAGCATGGAAAGTTGAACATGTCCAACTTTCCGTGCTACTAAACTGCGCTAGTGAGTCACGTGACCAACTAGCAGCTATCAAGTAGCGACTGTCGCCCAGTGTGACAGCTTCAATAGCGGACTAGCGGCTACTTGCACCACGTGCTGTCTGCCTGATTTGTTTATTCTCGTTCATTTTGAATAATTTCTGAAGTAATCATGAGTGATCCGAAGTGGGGTGGGGGAGATGTGATTAATTTTTTGAACCTGTATAAAAAAAATTTGTGTCTTTGGGACATAACCTCTCTTGAGCTAAACTAGTAGTAGCAGCTAGTGAATAGACGCTACAAAAATAAGTGTGACAGGAAAAGTAGCTGCTATTTCAGTAGCTGCTACTAGGTAGCTGCTAGTAAGTAGCCAAGTGTGACACAGGCTTTAAGTAACAATATGCTTAGAACATGACATCAAAACCAGTATTCCGTTCTTCAACAATACGTGTTTTTAATAATTTTATTAATCATTTTGATAGAAGATGCGAATGGCGGATGGGATGGACTGATGGACTGGATGGATGGATGTTGTTGTTGGTTGGATGACGTTTTTGTTTTTCTTCCTCTTTTCTAGTTTGCTTAAAAAAGATGGCTTAGTTAAGTTACCATGTAGCTACACTACTACACCTTAAAACATGACTGTTCTATACATTTCCCGGGCTTTTTCAAATTCTAGTTAGGAAATGATTTTTGTTTTTCTAATAAACTGAGTTTACCGAGGTTCATAAGTTAAAGTTGGCCTGGTTAGATGTTTTCCTTTTCCAGTTCCTTAATTATCCTTATCTTGCACCTCCAACCAAATAAAAAAAATGTTGGTATTCTTTTTTATATCTATAGCTAGGCTTTTTTTGTGCTATGAAGCTGATTCGCTAATAGTGATGATTGAGTTTTATCAATGAGTATACAGTACTTTAATGAAGTGTTTATGGAGGCCAAGGAATGGGCTTGAAGCAACAGGAAAAAACAACAAAATCCCAGAAAAAGTGATCAGTGAATTGTATGAAAAGTACCCAGAAAATTGCTTAGGTAAAAGTGTCAAGAACTTTCGCCAGTATTGGGTACTCCCCCCACCATCAAAGCACCATGCACCCCTATTTAAAGCATATCCTTAGAAGACATCAGTCAGTTAGGCCTCCGGGCCCGACCCCACCGGCAGGTGTCACCCGTGGTGGGGGGGGGGGGGGTAAGCTCCAGAGGCATGTTGAGCCCATGCAACCCGTAGTAAATGCGTGTTGACCCCCGGCACCACGTAATAGGATGTGCGTTGAGCCCCGTCACCCGGCACTATATAGGCGTGCTGAGCCTGGTGCAGCCGAGAGGCATGTTGAGCCCGGTACAACTGATTATTGGCGTATTGAGTTCCAACATCAGTTTATTATCCATTCCAGTCCCTGGGGGGTAAACGAGCTGTCTCCCGGGATGAATCCGCTGGAGGGGGATGTAGAGGACCCCTCCACATCAATAGAGTTTTTTTTTAAGGGAGAGGAGGGAAAATGCTTTTACGCGCACAGGTAGCCAGCCTGTAGTATGAGACTCCTGAATCTATCCCAGACTACTCACTAAAAAAACCCTCTACTCTGTTGGACACAGACCTGGAATTGTTTGTCACATTACTTCAAGTCAGGCCAACACGTGACCTAAGCCATCAGGGCTCTCACCGTTTCTGGCATTTATATACTTTGTGACCTACACCACATCCCGGTCAAGGTCGAGCTTCTTAGCGCGGAAAATACTCTGGATGTAATGTGACACACAGGTCCAATTTTCCTTACCCTCCATCATCATCGGTATGACCGTGCGTCCACCGACAGCAGTCCTACTACCTGTTGAGCCTCTATAGGCGGGGCCTTTCCCAACGCTGGCAGTGGAAAACGGTATGTTCCACGTCATCAGGAATGCCTGGGCAGTATATGCAATCAGGTGACACGGCTTTGCCCATCCTGAACAGGTACGGCCGGAAAAAGCAGTGTCCCGTCAGAAATTGGGTGAAGGAGAAGTCCACTTCTCCGTACCGCCGATTAACCCAAGGTTGGACTTGCTGTATCAGTCGCCTGGTCCAACGTCCCCGTGTCTCCTGTTCCCAGCCCTCCTGCCACAGCTGATAGGTGTGGGTGCGTTCCTCCTGTTCGTGCCTGGTCCTCCCCACGGTGCTGATAAATTGTCTTTCTCTCTACCACCAAAAGTTTGATGGGGATGACTCCAGTAACCACTAGGACGGTGGGATCGGACACTGTTTGGTGGGCGGATGCAACTCTTAGTGCTGCCTGACGCTGCACTCGGGCGAGCCGCATCTTATATACCTCCTTATTGAGAACGTCTGCCCACAACTCCACACCGTACAAGAGTACGGACTGGACATAAGACATTAACAGCTTCTACGGCTGGACCTAGGCCCTCCGACATTGGCCATTAACCGGCTAAGAGAGGAAACCACCTAGTCCGCCGCACGGAAAATCTGATTTTGCCAGCTAAACTTGCTGTCCACCATAACCCCAAGTTACTTGGCAGAACGAACGGTCTGGACTTCAACGGCTCCCACCCTGAACGGCACGACGATGTCAATCCATTTTTTGTTAATATCACGATCTCAGTTTTGCTCAAAGCGAGCGAGAGACCGTGGTCTGCCATCCATGCGTTTATGGTACGCATAACTCTGTTGAGCTTTATCTGAGCCAGCTCAACGCTACGTGCAGCTATCAAAACTGCAACGTCGTCTGCGTACCCAACCAAAACAGTTTCCTCAGGCATTTCAGTCCTCAGAAGGCTGTCATACGCAACATTCCAGAGGTCTGGGCCGAGTATGGAACCTTGGGTAGCACCGGAAGTGACACTCATCGTCCGTGGGCCTTCTGTAGTGTCATACATGAGGAGACGGAACCAGAGATAATCCTCTATGATACGCATGAGGTATACCGGAACGTGGAAGGTGTTCTCCAGAGCATCCAGCATATCGCACCACCTCGCGGAATTAAAAGCGTTTCGCACATCGAGAGTACGAGCATCACAACCTTACGAGAGTAGTGGTTAAAATCCTCAGCTCTCACCACGGCTTGCTTCCTTTAAAATGTCCTTTAATAGCAATAGTCCTTTAATGTCTCCCATTAACTGCGTTTACTCCAGTTGATGGCTCGACGAAGAGACCTCCTAGCCACTCTGTAAGCATCCGACTTACGACGTCTGTCTACATGTTCTCTGGCCCTGGTAGCAAGTCTTCTGGCTCTCAATGCTGCCCAACGCAGTTCCGCAATCTCGGCAGTCCACAAGTAGACATGTCGCTTATCTATAGAATAGGACCGTATGGCATCACACAGTACAAGAGTCAGTCTACCTCTGACAGTAAGACTGGACAGTGACATTGGAAGAAGAAGCTACTGTGACTAAGACAGGGGGTCTGGATCTGATGATCTAGAAGACGTCAAAGGTTCGCCTTAAAAATTGCCTTAACCATGAAGAACCGTACCTCGAAGGAGAAATTGTAATTAGTACTGTATATAGAATTAAATAGAACTGAGTGAAATTAATGTATGAACTTTATACGAGAGTTCGGATAATGAGAGAGTCCTGAAAAGCCTGAAAAGTCTGAATGTAGGAAACAAGGAAAAAAATTGAGAAAGTATAAAAACAAGTAATTTAGTATATCAAATTGTTGTTTTTTCTTAAAATTCCCATTTTAGTCTTATGGTTGTAAAATGTTGTAGATTACTTGTTTATGGATATATTTTAATCAAACTTGCCATATTTATTTATTTTATACTAAGCTATTAACATTTTACTAAAACCACTCTTTATTAGTTTCCTTGTAGCAGCAAACCTATTTGCTCGTTAAACCTAATGTTATTTAAATATTTTAAATTTTAAAATCAATTAAGACAAATGGAAATTCGCTTAGTCGGCAGGTTTGCTGCGGCCAGACAAAGGACATACAGCGTTATATTTGAATGAGTCTGTGAACCAGCTCTACCACAAAGTCAGGCTGAAGATGTTAAAAACAATGGCTAATGACTATTACACTAAACCTGTCATTAACCAGAAATCATTGCAAGGCCCAATATTCGTAGTTCGATTGAGAAAACTAATATTGTGTTATTGCCATTTCTGGATATATGTATGTTGTACAATGACAACTCACTATATTCAGAAGAGTCTGGGCTTTTCGAGCATTAGGAAAATTTGAAAACCAAAAGTATTGGTTGAAGTGGTTTGAACAATTTCAAGTTCGGTGTAAAATGCATAATATTGTTAACCCGTTTTCATTGAAAATTAAAAATAGAAAGTGGGAATTTGGTTAATCTGAAGATTTTTTTGAACGATTCTCATACAAATAATAGTCAAAAGTTTGATAGTAATATCTAAATGATCTATGACTGATAATCATAATAAACTAAATAATACACCTTTATCCTCCCCAAAAAATGTTTAAAAAGTGTTTTTTTTTTTTAATTTTCCTATAGGGAAGTAGCTACCGTAGGTCTTATGAAAAGACCTAGGCCCGGGCCCGATTTACTTGTTCATTTTCAAAAACACCATTTGTTCAATGTTCTCAAAATTCAACTATTATAAACTGTTCATATTTATTGGTTTTGTTCATTTTTACATTTTTCATTAATTTCTCTCTACTTGAAACCGTTTGTATATTAAACGAAAATTCGCACTGTTTCATGTTTCCTTTTTTATAATTCCCTCAAGAAATCGTCAAGAACAAAATAGATATGCAGATGGAAATTTGCTTACTCTGCAGATTTGCTGCGGTGGGGGTATATTGCTTGTATAACAAAAAGGCACGAGTAATAAATAAGATCCGTCTCCTATTTTGAAGTTAACAAGTTGGATGTGAGGAAGCATGTTTGTTGAATGACAATGATGACAATCGAGTTTGCCTTATTTACAATTACACAACTCCTTGATTTTGATTCAATTTGAAGGGATCGTGGGGCCAATGTAAAGCAGGTAAACCCACATGTTTCACTTTCAACTTTGATACGTTTCCTTCTTTTCTATCTACCCCTTTTGAAAATACTGTAAACCAGTCAAGTCTGTATGCGATAGAGATTTTACTTATTGGAATTAAAATAGGG